TCGGAGGACAGACCTTCCCTTGCAGTATGATTTGGACCGGGTTGCTGCGGTTTTGTTGCTTGCCGTCGCCAAGCATCAGAGCTTGAAAAATCATAGGCTCTTGTTTCGGTTTGCCCCTTGGAATCCTCTGAGAATGCGTAGGAAGTTGTTTCGGATGTGCAGGCCATGGGGTGAGGCCGAGCTCGGCATAAAAATCGTTATGAATGATATGAACACAGCCACCACAGCAGCAGCAGCAGCAGCATTGACGGGGCGCACCGCTTCAGTCACTTCGGCCTTCCTTCACATTCACCAACGAACTGGATCTGTTCAGCGATGCCAGGCAAGAATTCGAGACGGAATTCTGGGTCGGGCATACAGTAACGACCGGAACCACCACAGGGAGGGGGCATTGTCCCTCTCATCCCTTCTTGCTCAAGGCGGCTGTCACAGCCGGCCTCTCCTCGCACGACGTGTCGACAAATCATGTGCAATGTTGGGATATTTTCAAAGTGTTTGTTAAAGAAAAAAGGGTCGCTCTTTCAGTGGAATCGGTCACGTGTTCCAGCAGGGGCTCTGGTGGAGACCAGGCATCAGATGCGGCTGCAGCTGTGATGGATACGGTCACAGATCCCAAGCGAGGGGACCAAGCTGTGGTCAGAGACCCTGGAATTGCTGTACAATAGGACTTCGGGCTCTGCATCCCGACCCTTTTTGGCGAAAGCTGATGAAGCTGGGAACCTTCAACCCCGCTGACAGCCAGACTGCCTCGTGCTGAAACCGGCGACTCAGAGAATCCAACATGCTCGGAGTACGTGGCGGCTGAACCCGTCGGTAGTTGGTTACGAACAAAGGTGGTCCGCGGTGCCCCACAAGTCGAAAAGCTACGCACTCTGAAGCTTCTGAGATCTGAAGCTCTGATGTTCACAGCTGAGTTCTTGCCAGGGCCTGACGCGTGGGATACCTTTCCAACACAGCCGGAGACTAAGTGTCAGCACGCCAGCGCGCGCGCGCGCGCGTGGGTGTATGTGTGTGTGTGTGGGTGTGACTATGTGACTGTGTGGCAGGGCCAGACTGCGCTCCCAGTACCCTGTTTACAGGCATAAGGGACATCTGCAGCGATTTGAGGTCACATGTTGGCATGCTTACTGCTACGACATGGGCCAGCTGCTAATCAACCGCTGCTGCATCAGTTAATACAAGTCGCAGATCAAAATGGGGACCAGTAGACCGATGAGGCCTAGGGAAGGCATAGCAGCTCATGGACCTATCGCCACTCGGGGTACATACCAAACTTATCGTGGCCTGAAGCTGGCGTCTCGCTATCGTTTTGGCCGCAAGTCAGTTTGTGGCCATGCAAGGGTTGTTTCAGAAACGATGCTGAATTTACCACCGACACTTGTTTGAGCACACGTCGCTGGTTGTTCATTCCTGGCTTTTGGTGTCTCTCGCACAGTTGACAATGACCCTCGGCAGCAAAGACTTGGCTTCCTGGAGACAGGGGGCTGGAGCGGTTCAGAACCTGCGCCTTTGCATGCTTCAGACGCACCACTTTTCTGTGATTCCTTCAGACAGATCGTCGCGAGTCAAGCCCATGTCCCATCTTCTTCCACATGTAAAGCTGAGGGCAGGGCCTTAAGCAAGAAATCAAGCGATTGGCTTTTCGTCGGCACTAACAAAGAAGCTCATCAATTGCCCGTGAAGTGGTGGAGGACGCTCCACTTTGTACTGACAGCCATCGTGACATGTCGAGCCTGGTAGGGTGTTGCGCATCACCTACAGTCGCTGCTTTTCGCAACCGTGCCCTTGTACGCTGATTTCAGTGGTCAACAGATGAATTGCGGCTGATTGGTGACGAGCTGGTTACAGCATAGATTTGCTGTGCTACTCCGGTGTTCTTTATGAAACTCAAATGCCTAGAAGGGATGCACGTGTGTGAACCACCCAGCATGCCCTAGCTTACGGGTGCAGGGGATCACTTTTTCAGTCATTACATGTTTGGAGCCTCATGCCACTCAATTTCGTTTTGTTGTGCAGGGGCTGGAGGAAGCATATGAGGTTCTGAACGAGTCGAAACTACCGCCTCGCCTACAGTCCCTTCCCCCCCAACCTGCTGGGTGCTGGGGTGGCAAGCAAAACCGACATAAAAACTTCAACAATCCATAGCAAGCCTTAAAACTTTGAAGGTTGCTGGCCGTGTCTCGGAAGCATTGCGGAAGCTGTCATTAAAAGAATCTCCGCGAAAGGTCCTCAGAAGACAGGTCCTGTTTTGTTCCGACACAGGGCATTTTGTCCAAAGGGTTAAAGAAGGAACCAACAAAGGGTTACCAATGCCGCAGCTCCCGTGCGTCCTCAGCCCTGAGTCGTGTACGTTCCGTGCAACGTGCCTTGCCATGATGCCCTGTGTGATGGTATGCAACATGCCCTTGCGCTGCCGGCGTTTGCCACGATCTGCACAGATGGAAGACTGCATGGTCTCCAGTATCATTGCTGTCATTCCGGCAGCGACCAGCAAGCCATCTGAAACAAGCAACTCTGCCCTTCGAACACCTCTCAGGTCTGGCTCCATGTACATGGAGGCACCTGCACGTTGAGGACTCCACTCCCCTGCGCAGTCGCCGTGTTGTTTGGGGCAGAATTTGCTCTTCAGGAAGGCCACGCGTAGCTACAGATGCGAGAGCCAAGAACACGTGATCGCTGTGAATTTTCTGAAAAGCCACACTGCAAAAGATATTTCGTAGGGGGGCTGAGCAAAGAAGTGAGAGTCATGAGGATGTTAGTTGAATTGTGGCTGATGTTTTTCTCGGTGCCACGAGGCCGGACACCTGTACTACCTGGAGGAGGGACTCAACGTCTTGAGTTCTGCTTTCTGAGTTCTGCATGTAGATTTCATGTCCTTGGCAGCGCCAGGTGCTCCACAAGGAGCGCGTGCAGCAGGACCACTTGATTGCAGGAGCGCCATGCCCGCAGTACACACTCATCGTGATGTTTGCTCAATCAAGGTCCATGTTTACAATTCTCAGTTCCGAAGCGTAGAGTAAGCTTTGGCGGCAGCATCAAAGCACTTCCTGCGGGCTCGGTCGCTCACAGTTAGACAAAGCCGGCGCCGACCAAAATGCCGCAGTCAACTGCAACCCTCCATTGTCCCAGGTGACATTGCCCAGCGGGATTGTTCACAGACCGATTCCGGTCTCTCTTGCTCAGCTTTCCTCCTGCATTGTGTACTGAGCTTGATCACACAAGAACTCTGCAAAAGAGAGCGCCCAATGTTGGGTCCTGCTGACAAATGCCAGGCAAGCTTCTTCGATGCGGTGGTGTGCACGCAGGGCTTCCCCGTGGGTCTTGCAGTGGCCAGAAGCTTCGAAATCCATGACGATCAAATGATATTATCAAATTCTTTGCATCCCCGGTAGGGATGAGGGGCGGTGAAGGAAGGAATCCCAAGCCAAGCAAGCGAAACTCTTGAGGCGATTAAAGCAGCAGAATCCAGCACATTTAGGCTCAAGGTCGCAAAGTTCGTAAAGAACAGAGTCCCTTCAACCCATTCTAGCGTTTACAAGGTCCACGACTGCACGGGACGGAAGACGGGCGACAAGCTCGGCCTCGGTTCATTTCTCCATGCCTGGCTAACTCTATGAAGACTCAAGACTTACTAAGACCCGCAAGATCACGTGTTCCATCACATGTTCAATCATGCCTACTACTCGCTCGCGGCAAAATCCAACAATTCCCCAGGCCAGAGTTGCACGGCTCAGTGCCGCGGCGGCTGGAGCGGCGCCCGTGCGGCACCAAATGTTCATGCACTTCCTTGTCGATTGACAGAATACTTATGTGGGCCATGTATGCCATGTTTGGTGCGAGCGTCACTCTTGTGTGATCCTGTTACTGTTGCTGTCGGTCTCGAGTTGCTTGACGTGCGGGCGTGAAGGCTTGTGCTCAGCCCTGCTAAGAACAGACCTTCATTTGCGATGGTGTGGGCGTTTTTCATGGTCGTGACCCCATCTGCACAGCAGCCGAGCACTCAGAGAGCTGGAACGAAAGCATTCACCAGACCTGCATCAAAAAACCTACTGTAGGTCCCTTGGTTCTGCAGATGTGGCTACCCTCATGCGGAAAGTTCTGCAAGGCTGCACTTCTCTTAAAAGCCGGCCCTCGACAAGTCAACGCAGGCCATCAGAAACCCCATCAAAGCTTATTAAGTGCAGTCTGGTGGGCCCAGTGGGTTACAATGGGGGCTCAAGCAGACTGCTGCCCTGACATGCTCATGTTGCACACCAGGAAACATGTTGAGCTTGGCTTAGCGCAATCTTCACAGCAGCTCCATGAATGATCAGACAGACTGGGCAAGGTCCAATGTGAGGAGTACAACGTGGAAGTGGGAAGCCTGTTCATGCACGGCGTATGGGACGAGGACAGAAGTCCGATTCTGCAGATGCAGCAGCAGCATCATGGGTGGTGAACGTGAATGTCAGCAGAACCTGTTCCTCCCAAAAGATCATGCCTGAGTGCTGACTGCAGTTTCTGTTTTTGCCTGCCCGATTACAGCTTCCTGTCCTTTTGCCATTCTATCCTGCTGTACCCCCGTTTCATCGGCAGGTTGACTGCCTGATGCTCAGCATCGTGGCATTGCGGTTGATTGACGCCTCCTGTCAAGCTTACCCAGGCTTTCCTTCAATGTGCCTCAAGACCTTTTGTCGAGCCTAGGCTCAAACATGGAGGGCAGCAAGTGCGACGACCAGCTGCGCAGCTGGTCAGGTGGGGCAGAGCCGCAGCACATGGTGGACACCATCCGCGAAGTGCGAGAACAAGCAGATTTAGGGCTAGGGAATGCTACCCAGACGTGCACTGTGATGGCTGTGGACTGTGGCGAAGCATGACACTCTGGGTGAAGTTCTTTCACCGGCACCAATGCAGCCAACATCGTGCAGAGATAGTTCGGAGCGATGTGCCAGTCTGCACTGTCTTTTGTGGACTACTCTTTAGGACTTAGCCAATCCAGTGGGATCTTCTACTGTGAGCCAATGGCAAATGTGCGCCATCGCCCAGCGGCAGCGCCACTGCGACGATGCGGTTTCACGCTGCCCCAGAGGTTCATCGGTTGGTTGAGTTGGGCTAGTTAGCTTCGGGGTTCTTGAGGGTCGTACAGAAGATCCTTGTGTTCGACTTCATGTGAGACACACATTTCATAGCGCGTGTAGTGGCCCGCACTCTTCATGAAAATACTGATCTTATGCTCTGTGTAGTGCCCTTAGGCCCCACGAAAGTAGCTGCGAAAGACTTTCGAAGGAACTCGTTGCTATAGCCTAGACGCACCAGCCCTACGTTGAAGGACGCAGGCTAACCAACTAGCTCGCACCTCCTGCAGCTGCCAGGGTATCAGACACAGAGTTGGTGCAGAATCGGTTTTCCCTGACATTGCTTGGCTCTCCTGTTTTGTGTTGTCAGAGGGTGGCTTCTGGCATGCTTGCATCAGCCTAGCTCAACATGAGGGGCTTTGCACATGGTGTCATGGACCTACAGGCAACTGCTTGGGACTCGTGCTTAGAGACAGACCACTCGACTGGTGACGACCTTGTCGACTAGCCCGGGCTTCCGAGCTGATATGTGATTGTATTCGGTTGCAGCCTGACATGCTACTGTACAGGAAATTGAGTTGCCCAGAACAACTTGATGTTTTCGTTCCCTGACTGCAGAGATGCTTATGATGCTCCGTGGTACCGCCATGACGGAACGAAGCCTTCTCTGAATCTTGCAGCAACTTGCAAGTCTCGCGCAGGGCCTGGGAGAGTCGAGCCCGACAAGTGCCCGATGCCTCGCATTCCCAAGCACTTGAGACTGAGCCAGCGTTGCCTCAGACAGACTTGATTACTTCAGCAACTCAGCTACTCATTCAAGACATGATGAAAGTTGGCGACCTAAGCTGAGGACTTTGTTGGGGATACAGGTGGTCAAAGGGACATGATTTCGAATTTTGTGCAGGCTTCTGTCTCTGACAGCTTCAAGCAGCTGAGGGCGACGAAGCAGAGCCGCCAGTACCGCCTGCAACACTTGAATCGCCGACTCCGGCCACGGCAGATGACATGTCTGGCGGCCTACCTCTGCCCCCTGAAGGCTCTGAAGCTGCTCACTTCAAGATGATGAGGTCTGAGTTACTTTTCTTATACGCTGGTCTCTCTAGATTCTAGATCCGTGCTCCACATTCTGCTGTCCTGTACTCCAATACGTCAATAGGCAAGAGATTCTAAGGTTGCAGAGGCGGCAGAAGCTTCAGACGACACAGAGGCGGCTAGAGGGAGTGGCGAACAGCTGACGCACCGCCCAACTGATCCAGCCGTGGCCCTGGCAATGCCCATCTATGCCCCGGCACCTCCGCAAGCACATGTGCCGCTGCCCAACGGGTACAACGCATACGCATTGATCAACGGCGAGACTCCCTGGAGTGCTGTCGCTGTGTGCAGCTTGGCGCCATCACAGTACACGATGGGCTGTACATGGCCACGTCATTGTGGCCCGAAGAAAATGAAAAAGACAAAGCCTACAAAAACACTTAGAAGAAAGCTGTGCTTAACAGGTGTCAAGAGGAACGTTCGATGAATGTATACATATACATGGTACTCCCAGTGAAGGGATCAACCGCTTTAGTGCCTCCAGAATGAACATGATATGTCTCATGCAGCATTACCTTGAAGAAGAGATTGATGAGAAAAAGAAAGTGTTTCATAAATACTCTAAATTGAAGGTTGAATACTTCTGAGACAGTTTTTCGGTAGCTTAGGAATACATATTTTGCATTTGAAGGTTGCAAATATTGTCGTGTTTGTATGTACATATACAAGGCGCCCGTGACGGGGCCAGCGGAACCCATGAGGTCGGCAGCAAGCAGAGAGGCTTGCAAAGCTCGAGGCTGAAATCTTGGAGGAGTGCCGGCAGAAGCAAGAACGCCTGTGGCAGGCTGAGCTTGCGGAGGTCTTGGATCAGAGGGCCCACGAGTGGCGAGAGCAGCGTGCCCAGTTTGAGTCCCAGATCTCTTACCAGGAGTCTCTTGTGTGCAAACCATCCGTCAATAAATCAAGCAGCAAAGTCATGACTCAAGCCTCCGCCAAGCACGCGTCAACCAACAGGAGCAGCGCTACACAAGCGCATTGGTTTCGTGGCGGCAGTCCGAAGTCAACTCTCAGCGAGATGCTCAACTGCGACACCAAGCAGTCTCCGATCGCTGCCTTTCCATCTCAGAAGAGTTAGCAGAGGCCCGAGCATCCTTCGCGACTGAACGCTTTCAACTGGAGCAAGCAGGGGGACAGCTGCAAGCTGAGCTTGCCACTTCAACCAATGAGGCGAACGCCATTAAGGTGGAAGAGAGAACCATGATCAGTTGCCACTTGCCTATACTTGTTCTTTTTCCGGCCGAAGGCGTTCGGCGTTCGAATTCAGCGTGCTCTTCCTGAGTGCCCACATGCAGGGCTATGTTATAAGACTTATTTTGCTTTCGGGGTGCTTGCACGGCCAGAAAGTATAAACTGCAATGTGAATATACCCGAGTACTGTAACTATGACGAAGGCATGCGGCGAGAGCTGGCTGCCGAAGCAGCAAGCGCAGCACAAGTCACAGAAACCGCAGAGAACCAGAGAGATGCGGCCGTTTCGGAGTGCAAAGCAGCGGAGGCAAAACTCGCCAAGCAGCATCTGGATTACCGCGGCAACTTGGACGAGCTTTTGCTTCAGCGAACAAGCTTGGAAGAAAGCTGCCAACACGCTGATCACTTGCAGCGGCTGTCTCGTCAGCGGACAAGCTATGAAGAAGAGGCCGCTGCCAAGGCAATTGATGAGCGCCATCGAGCCCAAGCCGAACTTCAAGCAGAAAACGAAGAAAAAGAGAAGCTCTCGGCTTTAGTCGCTTTGCTGCATAGTCTGCTCATCTCCACATCTACGCGTGTTACGGCGCTTGGTGTCAAGCATGTGCGTTGCGCATTGCTGCTTGGGCAAGGTCATCGGGCTTACAGCAGAAGTCGCTGCCGCCTCGAAAGAGGCAATCCTCAGCCAGATGCTGCGATCTGCAACTTCAATGATCTAAGCCAGGGTGTGAAAGGGTGTGGAGAGACTCAGCATCGTACCATTGCGATTAAACCCATTCGACCTCTGCATTTTGTGGGTAGCACGACAGAACACTGACACTGCAGATTGCATCCTAAGCTGCAGCCATGACCATCAGATGGACGTGGAGCGGGAGACCCGACGAGCGTTTCAACAAGTGGCAGAGGACCCATGAGCCAATCTGGCCAGATGGTATATAGACATGTGGCACACGGGGCAGTCGAATAAATCACTCGCATTCGAGATGCTCTTGTATTTCCTGAAGCTCTGGAACATTTGAACGTGCAAAGCCAGTTGAGGGGACAGGAGTCCCGGGCATGCAAATTTCAGGAACTTCCAGGAGTCCGGCATTCCAGCTCATTCCAGCTCGTTCCAGCTCGTTTAGCATTGAGGCTTGAGATTTGGTCCAGGCCCTGCTGGTGATTTGTGGCAGGCTGCAATAAAATCCACTTCGTATTCAGAACCACCCCCCCAGCCACCTCGGCGGCCGGGCCGGCCCGCAGCAGGGTGCGAGGAGACAGGTGACCAGCCCCAAATAGAGGTTTCAGAAACGGTCCTGGGATCATAAAGGGTTCCATGGAGGTAGGGGGGGATGGGGGGGTCCCAGGAGTGTCCCAGAAAATTCCCAGAAGGGTCCCGGTCGCAGGCAGGTTCCAGGATCCCAAGACAGGTCCAAGGAAGGTCTAAGGGGCTGCGGCCTGGCGGCGCCTCCAAGCGGTTTGGGCAGGTCCCACACGGCGCAGGTGGGGGAGGGGGTACAGAAGGGGACAAGCAGACGCTTCTCGGCTGGAAGCCTAGGCGAATGAGAAGCCTGTGCAGTCAGTCTAAGAGCTGGTATGGAGGAGAGATGTTGAGTTTGTTCTGCGATGTGTTGTGGCAGCTTCGAGGAAGGCATGAAGTCGAGGGCCGTTGTGTGCACCCGTTCCCCAACGCTCAACCCTAAGCTCTATAGCTAAGCAGCTAAGCTGTAGGCCCGTAGCATCCGTAGCCTAAACTCTAAACCTGAAGCACTTTTCTAAAGGGGATCCCGCATTGACGGGTTTCTTATGACGGGCGGGTTCTGAAAGCGGCCAACCGGCTTCCGCGGGGGGAGGGGGGGGTGGGGGTAGTGCAGGGAACTCACCGTGAGTTTGTGGCGTGATTTAAAAAAAAACACCTCCGCCTTTTTCGATGGAGTTGAAATCGATTGGATTGCTATGAGGTTTCGGTTTTAAAAAGCTTTGTTCCAACTGCCTCGGCCCAGAAGGATTGATTGTACAATTGCAGGGGGGGGGGGTCTAAATATGTTTCTTGGATTTGTATTTTGGAATTGGGGGGGGGGGGGGGTTTTAATATTGAGGTCAACATCAGGAAAGGAATGGGGAGGGCAGGAGGGCAGAAGGAGAGACATGGACTCCATTGGACTCCTATGTCCCACAAAACTTCACAATCCGAACAGGACGCGCAGAAGCTGCAGGCCACTTTCTTGGCTGAGGCCAGAAGCCAAATTAAATCAGACCGAGTTGAATGTCATGAATGCCTTGAAGCATCAAAAGCTGATTCTTCTGGAAAGGCGGAAGCCGCAAGGGAGGTTGCCGAAGCTACTGCTCTTGAAGTTGCCGAGGCCTGACAGCCTACGACATCTTACTGTCTCGATTCTAGGTTAAGTATGTTAAGTGCCTGCATGGTTTGATGTGCTCGGTGCTTGGATCTTCCTGATTGGTCTTGATTTTTCTAGGCGTGGAACATCATGGAACTGTGGGCCATGAGCACAAATGCGTGAAGTGGGCCTTTCGTACTGTGCTTTGCCTGTGTCAGGAAAGACGCCATCGAGCGCGTGACCTCCATGAGTACCGCCAAGTACTGTGGCATGGCATGACCAAGTCTGGTTTGGCTCCAGAGGCTTTTGGCTGTTCATGTACAAAGCTTACAAAGTAATGCACCTGTAAAAGCAGATGAACTGGAACAATGCCAAGATGATGTCGTTGACTCAAAGTGTCTCCAAGTGTTCCAGTCCCATGCACAACTATCAGGCGCCATCATCAGGAGCCCGAGCTTTCTCCGCTTGGATGGTCACTCTAGGGGTTGTGGTAGCACTTGCATGACCTGCCTTTGAGTGCGAGCTTTCTGCAGGTTGCAGAATTCATGTGGACAGTACACTCAGTCGGGTGCAGGAGAGCTCCTCGTACCTGCGATATTCATTTGACTGCTTGTTACCACTGGCGGGGGAAAGGGGGAAGGACAACAGTCTTGAACGTTTCACAAGTCAGTTCTCCCTCGCTCCGCCCTCCCTCCACTACTGTAGTGCAGTGCGTTCATGTCCAGCATAAACTCAAACGAGCAGGAACAACTGAGTGCTGAGCGACAGCGCCAGATCTTCACCGAAGTGCAGCCCGGCTCAACCCAACTCTATGGGAACTTGGGTTGAGAACACCAAATCAGACCCTACCAGATCACACTACTTATGGCGCAATAGGTCTTGGCTGTGTGTTGCCAAGTAGGGCCAAGATGGAAGTTCCACGGTGTCTTTCAGGCGAGTGCGAATGTAGCAGAAAGTCAGCTAAGTTCACTGAACTGCGCAGGACAAACAGAAGAAGAGCATGCGGCAACCAAGGTTGGGTGCCATTGACTCTGCTGGTGACTGAGCGCCACCAAGCAAAACGTGAGCGTGCTCCAACACTGCAGTCTTTCATGCTCAGCCCGTCCCTCCATTTCACTGCTATCCATCATTCATCTCACCGTACATCTCTCGGTCTAGCTGTCTGCCTGTCTTACCTTTACTAGAGATTTGCTGGGCCCCCATCCTCGTGTGAATCTCAAGCTCGACGCCGACTCATGAGCCCAAACAGATAGTCGGATAGTTCCCGTGGGTCCTCTGCACTCAAGCTTTATGACGGCATTGCGGGTGTACTACTAGCGTTGAGGAACATGCAGTGTTCCATCAGCAACCTGGACAGCTCTCCCTGTGACACATGAAATCACGCGCAAGCTTGGATGGCAGGCCCCGAGAACTGCGCGAGCCGGGTTGTCACTGCTGGTAGTTCGTGCACCACAGCTGCAGAAGTGAAAATAGCCGGCAATTAGCATTACTTACTTATTTACCCCGACCAACAAAGGAGTCAATTTTGATGGCACTGTAGAGATATTCAGGAATTTCAGGACATCCCGGGGTATTCTCTAGGACAGGGGCCGGCACTGCGGGAGCTTCAGCGCCCTACTGCCATAGCAGTCTTCATAGCCCCTTTGGCCCGTCAACCAGAAGTGCTAGATTGGCCGGGCGTTTGGAGGTCTCTGAACCTTTGCTGCCTACAGAGACATTCCATGCAGGATTCTGTTGGGGTTCATTCTGTCTTTTTGCAGGTCGGCACTAGGGATACTGCGCAGGATTCTCATGATTCTCTGGGAGCGGGCACTCTAGCATCACTCTGCAGGATTCTGTGCTGAATTCTCTGCTTCCGGGCATTCTTGGGGCGGGTACTCCAGTGATACCTGACACATCATGATGGATTATCTGCGAGTTATTCTCTGCGCCTCAGCATGCTTGAGTTTCTCCAAAGGGAACATGCACGACAAGCACTGGAAGATATGTGAAGCATCGGGAAAGACGCACGAAATTCAACAAAGCCTCCAACCCTCAAGGGCAGCTAGTAGCTTGGCGGGTGGCAAAAAATTGCAAAACACACCTCCTTGCCTCAATCCGAGAGCCCAGAAGCACTGCGAACCTAAGCACTATACTCGAATACCGAAACTCAAAGACTGAAATAAGACTGCATGGCGGGTGTATGCGGATGGCAAAATCATGACTTAATCATGCCCGTCTTGACCGCCTTGACCGCCTTGAGCACCTCGGTCTTCTACACAAGACGGTCAAGAAGGTCCAGAAAGTCACCCATCTTGACCGATTTGACCATTGACCCTCTGTTCTCTGGACAAGAGCATCAAGAAGGTCAAGAGGGTCAAGAATGTCAAGAGGGTCAAGAGGGTCAAGAAGGACATGCGATTGCCGGCACCATCGTTACGTTTAGTGCCTCGGCAGTTTTCCAAAGCTGCAGACTCCAGACCTCCCCCGAACCTGAAGAATCAACATCTCGGGTTCAGGCTTCGAGGTTTTGCCAGCTGAACTAGGGTTTAGGTTGTAAAGTGGTTTTAAAATGCGAGAAAACTTCAGCCTCTTAGGTTTCAAGCCCCCTTTCTCGGAGGGGAGCGGGCATGGGTTCCCGATGTCTTCTTGGAAATGAGTGCGAAGCGACGCTTATGCAACTCTTGTAAGGCCGCGACTATTGCCTGGCACGCGGTCGAGGCTGTGTGAAGTCATCCGACATGGCCTCAGACCTTCGAGACCATGGTCAATTTGATGGGCGATTGTTTGAGAGGGTTGCAGATAAGTCTCCGAGCTATCTCCAGACAATGTGGCAAACTGCGCAGAAAGCTGATTGTCTGACAGCCCCCGAAACCTCAGAGTGAGCAAACCTCAAACCTTTGGCCAGCTTTGGCTACACGGTGTGACTCTCATTTTGCGCTTTCGTCTACCAAAGGCGGATCTGACATCCTGCCGCCCCTCACCCAGACGTGCTCATGACTGGCTGAGTAAGCAAAGCTGGACCGACCGGATGCTAACATTGATTCGGTGTCTACAAGGGCCAGAGACTCTATCTTGTGCTACTGATCGAAGTCGAAGAGTCGAGACTGCCAGGTCCTGAGTTTCCAGGTCAAGTTTGCCCTTTACCCAGCGATGGCGGATGCCCGGCACTTAGTATTGGGCAAATCGCATGTATCATGCCGCGGATCACTCGATTGCAGCTATAGGTGATGTACCCCTGGCCGAGCAGCGCCTGCCTTGGGTGGCCATGTTGGCTGTTGCTTATTCCTGAGCCACAATCTTTTAAGTCTTGAGCCTTTTGCAAGCGGCAGTACAAATATCCCACAGGCCCACTCAGCGAAGGCTAAGGCCTCTGCCGGCAAAGATGGCCCAAGAGCGAAAAGATGTGCGAACACGTCCTGGCAGCGGACAAGAAAGCGCACAGAGCCAGAGTGAATCAGACACTCGTTGCCACCATTGTCCAACATGAAGATATATGAAGTATACTTCTATCCGTCCACTGGATTGACATTCCCACCCTGGGATACAGAAGTGGAACGCGCGGCCCAACCAACTTTCCTTCAGACAGTTTGCATCCCCCTCAATGAAGATATGCACTTGATTCATTCGCTCCGAGCGCAATATAAGGAAAGCAGGCCAGAGTGAGCAAGCAAGGCAAAAAGAGTAGAGGGGCGCTCCCCGGTCGTAAACGTGGCCACGTCGGAAAGGGAGACCATCTCACTTCAGGGTTCACGCTTGGCACTATTTGCACTCCGGCCAAGTCTCGTCCCCATGATTGCTCCCTGTCCAATGCTTGCTTTGGGCTGCACTGTGTCTTTCTATGTCTTTCCCTGAGCCGCTTGTTTTCCGGAACCTGTCGCCCGAGAAACGAACCCCTTGCAGAGACGCCCTGAGGATTTGCGTGTGTGGCCGGGTGGAGAGCCAGTCTGGCACCGACACCTGTCTGCTCAGTGCTTGGTGCAGCCAGGCGTGCTCCTTGGCAAGTTCGAGAAATAGTCGTACTTGCAACGTTTGTTGCTGGCCTAGCCTGTTCTGCCAACCAGGGCCTCATGACGCCAGCAGGATATCCACTCGGCCCAAGCCTCAATTGCTCAGGGTGGAGCAAGTGGGATGCGAAGCACTGTCATCCCCATCTTATGCCTTGGTTCAATTCTAAACGCTGCTATTGCTGCTTTAACGACGCCGCAACAGCCGCAACGTGCCGCTGGCCAAGGGGCACATGCCGACAGCAACAATGACCTCGTTGTGGCCGACTCTTTGAGGCTCACCTTTGCTGTGACAACGGATTTTCTGGGATTTCGGTGCTCTTGCCATTGGATGTGTCACTTTGCGTGAGTCATGCTGCGGGGTGTCAGAGCACTCCGTGGCTCAAAGGCCAGCTAAGCTTGCCAAGGCTTGCTTTCAATTCCCTTCACGTGGGCTGAGCATTGGTTTCTTTTGCCGGCACTTGTTTCTAGCGTTGAGACCAAGCATTGTAAATTGCAGCTTTTCGGTTTGCTCGCAAGCTCCGAACACGGTAAACTTAAGAAAGACAGTGAGAATGAGAGAAGTAGCAAAAAGACCGAAAGAAATAATGCAATAACATGCATAGGGCATAGAGCTCAGCATGTGTGACTGTAAACAAGAAGTAACAAAGGAATAATTAACAGAAAATCGTTAATCGAAATCACTAATGGAAAGAGAGAGAGAAAGAGAGAGAGAGAGAGAGAGAAAGGACAAATGATGCTCCGCCCAGAACCAACAGCCCCGCCCAAACCAAGCCAACCCAGCCGCGTGTTTAAACATGTGCCCTATGCTTCACAAGCAAGATCTTCGCATCCAGAAATGCTCGCCCCCCCCCCCCCCCCCTCAAACGCTTTGACCACTCAAGCCAAAACCAAGCAATACTTTCCAAGAGCGCAACTTTGCCTCTGTCCAGAGCCAGCCCAAACCAAGCCACACTTTATTTGGAGCCTGAGAACAGTCGGAAATGCAGAAATTTACAGTGATCAGAGCCTGTGATCAGGCCGAAATGTTGCAAGCACAGTATTTGGTCTCAGCCCCACACAAATAGAAATTGAACAAGAAAAAAAGAAAGCGAATCTTGACCAGAACCAGATGCTGCAGATTGACAACATGGAAGATACCTTCCGTTCCCAAGCTCCTCAATCCGCATAGCTGGAGTGAAGCAGATGGTGACACTGACCATGGCTCAGCTGGCAACTCCACCCGGCAGACAGCAGGGTTTCGCCAACGTGAGCTGCTGATTGGAAGTGCTTAGACCATGTGTGTTATTTCAGCATCTCTCTAAACAGACACTTGTCATGTTCAAAAAAAGGTGCTGATGTTTACTTTCTCCAGCATGAACTGTGGTGCCTGCTGTCAAATCTTTCAAAACCTTTGACTGCGACAAACCACGGAGTTGCAGTGACTTAGTTGGGAGTTGAGGTGGGGTGTAGAGCCTGCGCATGCCACTAGCGTGTCCTCTCCACAGAAGTGCCCCGCATGTGCACAGGGCAGCTGTCGTGAGATGGACGGGCTACAGGCCGGCTTGTCAAAGTGGACAAGTTCTGCGATGAGCAGAATGCGACATCCGTAGCCAAGTAACTGCAGACGTCAAGCCTGAGTGCGCAATGAAGCGCAATGAAGCGTCTCCTGAAAGTGCTCGTCATGGTTGCCAGTGCCGATTGCCTTACACAGACTTTGCAAGGCACGAAGTGCTAGCAGGAGGGAATGGGGCCCGAAGCTCAGGCTTTCCATCTGAGAGATTGATCTAGATAGGTGTTCAAATGCCACTTGTTCTAGGTGGCCTGGCTGGGTCCTGGACTAATGGACAGGCTTGTTGCATGCACTGAGGTGGGTTCTGCGACGAATCAGGCAACGACTTAGCAAGTGTCGGCACAGGTTTGTCCTTGTTCTGTTGTGTGGTCAATGGAATCCTCAACCATAGCCAGACTGGCCTGCAAAGCACGTGTTTTGCAGGTGTCTGAGGGGGCCTCGGCGAGGTTGATGATATCACTTGCGGGATGGCGAGGTGTTCGAGTAGAATCGAGGAGAAACCTGAAAGCAAAACTCTGCCCACCTCCAACGACTCCTGATGCTCACGATGCTCCCCCGTGGGCTCTGAGGGATCATGATGCTCACCCCCTGGGCTCTTGAGGGCTTAGGCCGCTACACAGGCGACCCGTTTGGCATCCTGCAGTTACGAACACCTCTGGAGGAAAACGGTGGATTCCTTGTAAACTCCCATAAAATTCGGCAAAGGTATCCAATGTCGTTACCCAACGGACGCTGACAGAGACAGGTATTTGCAGGCATCTGGTATGGTGAGCAGGCGGTGGTTAAGCCGGGGAGATGGGATGAGATTGTGTCCGCACTTCCACTTTAGCCCAGCAGCCCAAAAACGGGTCCAGGGTATGGTTTGGTCCGGTGGGGCAACGGCAATCCCAGGGCTATCTTTCGTTGGCCACGCTTGCACGTCGGGTCTGTTATGCTTGGTACCATCTTGAGTCAATCAATGATTGATTGCAGTTGAGTGGTCCACTCGGGATCTTTTTTGAGCCCTGGCCTCAGTCAGAATGGCGCCAGGCGTAGCCAGGCTTCTTCTGCAAGAAATAGCTGGCAGTGCTTGGAGCTTCTCGATGTGACTTCTCTGTTGGATTCGAGAAGAGTTCGCCTGTTGAAGCCTCCTGCGAGCCTTGTTTTGTACCAGGTCTTGGTATGTCAGTAGCATAAGGGGGCCCCCCAATCAGGGATTGTATCGAAAATTTCAAGAGAGGTACCACCCATCAGGCTTCGGAGTGAAACGCAGGCAGGGCGGGGAGTCCCGTCCCCTCGTGATCAAGGTAGCTTGACCTCGAACATGTTAATATCTTGTCCGAGACTTCTGGCTTACATTCTCCGCACAAGTTAAAGTGGTTGGTATCAACGATGGGGCAGGTCCTCGTGAAGTTGATTCCGCGTCAGTCCGGAATGCAGTCAGACAAGTTACACGTACTCTAGGTGAGAACCTCGAGAAGGGGCCTGTGGACAAAAGCTTAACCTGCGCGCCGGTCCCGTTCAAGTTATGCAGGTGCCTGCGATCTCCTCCACAGAACAAGATTCAGTCAGGAAAGCACTAGAGCCATAAGTGGACATCTTGTGATTTGAAGGCCGGGCCCAGACACACTCTACGTTGCTGATACTGCTCTGGGCTGAGCGTGTCGACGTTGGCGAGTGAATGGGAAAACGCTAAAGAACGTTCTGCTTCAAGATTGGAGAAGTCAGGCCAATCACCGCATTGTCGCATGGTCTTCAGGAGGTGCCGCAGCCTTGGCGCTGGCTGTCCGAAGATTTAGGTTTCTGAAGGGGAACACTGCCATGCTTCCTCGACTGGATCAAACCGTGATTTTGCAGCTATGCAAGATCGTTCTGGCAAGTGGCGGGCTGCCAGCCAAAGCGAGGCTGCTACTGCTAGCATCAAGAATGTGCAAGTGAAAAGCTGTGCAAAATACGGCATGCAAAGTTGCTGAGGTGGCAAGCATCGTCTTCGGGACAGGTTCGTTCAACTCTCGGTTGCCGGCACTTCGTTTTCCTAGAACCCGAAATATGGAGTAAAGGAGTGCCCAACATGTGGCGAAATCCCTGATGAGCATGGTCTACCTTTGCTCCAAGCACGTAAGCAATAGACGACATTGTCCAGAATGTGTTCGGTGCTTGTCTTTCAATTGATACGGCTTGGTGTTGTTAGCTTGCAAACCTATAATGTTGCACCCGCTTTAGTGGATGAGACCGCTATTATGCGATGTTCCGAAAATCTCATACAGAACCCCCCATTGTTTAGGTTGGTTCACAATTATGCGATGTTGTCCCGGCTGGGGTTGAAGGGCGGGGGGCCGGGGAGCCAAAAACTAAAAAAAGTTTTGAATAAGAAACTCCGGGTTATTTTGGTGTCCAGCCTTATTGAAATTCCTTGTAAATTTCATTACGAAACAGGCCCCCAAACAATTTTCCAAGGGAGTAGCCCACGAGCTGCCTGATTCGCTTTAGCAAGTTGTTTCGGTGGTTCACATTAATGCGGAGCCCCGGCGACCGTGGAGCTACAAAGCCTGGAAAGCTTAGACCCTCAAGCTTCAAGGCTTCCCCTCAACCCTCGACCCCTAGCCGCCCTACCCCCAGCCCCCGTCCCAGCCCCATCCCACATTATTAAGGATCCCCGAAAACCCCAAAATTGTTTGGGGGGGGGGGGGGGGGGGACCCCCCCACACTAAAGCGAGTCCAACATTATTGGGGTCCTTACCAAGACAATTCTCCGTCCAGATGTCATCTGAAAGCCACTGCGCAATTTCGTGGTAAAGCATCGGCTGGCGGCGCAACAGCATCGCCAAGCATGTGCGCATTCTGAGTGTTGTACACATGGACCTCAGCTCACAGGTGTCTATCTTGTATGTTTTCGTCAGCCATGAAGCACTACTCCGAACCGACGGGTCGCCCTAGAACACGAAGACTACGGTCTTGCCACTGTTGTCCAAGAGCGGATGCCTGAGAACAGCAAACTCTCCGCGTGCAGTTGTTTCGGGCTCGGGTAGTTCAAGGGTGAGATGAAAGCCAGCGGCGTCCGTTCGCAATGCGTCAGACTTTGCGGCGCTTCTCTTCGCATCGGGTGCTCTGCTTGGCGGGAGACGGCACCTGGGCCTGGCAATGTCTAGCATCTTGGGGACTTGGGGCCCATGCTTTATTGTGGTGTTGCAGGCGGTTCCGCTGAGAGTCGTGTCAAATGAGATGCTGCCACATGAGATACTCTGAGGCGTGGGTCCAGAGCTCCTCTCAGCTACCAAGCTGGCTCTGCAAGCCACAGGCTGGCACACCTCCATTGCTCTAAACTCTAGTCCACACGACATGCCCAAGGTTGCTTTATCCTACTGGTTTGTTGAGGTGTAAACTTCAGCTTCAAAGACATGGACTTTGGAAATACCTTCGCCTTGCAGAACGGCTCCCCGATCAGTGAAGACCATGTGCAAGCAGTGGAGAAGACGCTTGCTGTGCAAGAAGAGAGAGAGAGAGAGAGATATTAAAAACACAAAGTCATTCCCCGGCAAGGGAACGGGCAATCGCCAAGACGCAAACGGGGCGAAGGGCTCCGAAAACGTCATGGCCCCTCACACAGCAGAAGCAAACAAAGGCAAGAGCAGAATGGTAAAGAAACCGCTTTGTGACAAATTGCGGATTACGTGGAAGCCCATGCGCAACGCCAACAAATGCAAGGGGCGCATGGCCAGGATGTAGATGTTGTCCAAGTTTGGAAAGGCCACCAACAGCCACCATCGTGGTCCAAAGTTTGGGGAGGGCCACCAGCTGCCCCCATCGTGGCCTAGGTGAGCTGTCTTAGCAAGACCCCAAGCGCACCCCCAGCCAAACTAGGGATGCAAGGCCACACCAGCGCCAGGCCACGCCAGGGCCGAGATGCCGAGATGTACATGTTGTCAGTTGTCCAACGTGCTCATCTTTGCAGTGGGTTTGGGGAGGGCCACCAGCTGCCACCATCGTGGCCCAGGTGCGCCCTTAGGAGCCGCCAGCTGTCCTAGCAAGACCCAAGCGCACCCCCAAGCGAAAGTAGGGTAAGGGAAGAAGGCCACGCCATGGCCACGCCAGGGCCGAGATCTCAAAGGCTTTTGTGAGATTAGATCCCTCTGCGCTTCTTCTTTCCGAGGATTGGCTGCGTTCTCAAGGGGCCGATCGACATCACGGCTTCTGGAAGCACCACAAAGCCAGTGGAGCTTCGAGGAGCGCAGGGGGCTGACTTGTGACAGTCATGGGCTCAGGCCTAGCGGCCCCAGACCATCCGAACCATCCAACTGCTGCCATATAATATCTTGCACGAAACATAAGAACCAACAAGTGCTCTGCTGATGCGAGGACCATGCATGTATGCGCCTGAACCTGAAGCAAGGATCCCTTGTCACAACTCTTAACGAAACGGTGTTCTCTATGAATTGCTACGTGTCAAAGCGCACAGGTTGGGACGGAGTCTGGCCTTAAAATGATGCCCTCTACCGTAGGGTCCTAGGCAGACTTCAGAAGCTTCTGATGTGAGTGTCTGCCCTGGTCGTCCTGCACGCTGCTGCGAAAACCTGAGGACAGTGCTTCTCGTCGGAAGCTTGCCTTTCAAGAAGTGTTTGCTTATGCATTACAGAGCACGCATGTCTGAATTCTCAGCGCCCTTCATGCGATCAAGCCATAAGCCACGTAAACTTGAAGAATGGACTTCATTGGTCTAGCTCTGTGCAAGTCAAGACGAAGGCGACAAAAACTTTTTGCCAGCAATTCCCGAACGCTTCATGTTGTTTCCAAGGCCAACCAGGCCCTCCGCAAGCTTTTCCAACTCTACGCCAATGTGCGGCCAGCCAAGTATCTCGAAGGAGCCGCTGAAATGGTCGCTGCATCCATTCTCACAGGGGGGGGGGGGGGGGGGGGGGGGGGGCGCCAATGTTCCCTGAAATACAGTTAGCGAGACTACACCTGGCCCAGCATTTTGCACTTTGCTCGTTCGATGCTCTGTTAGTGATTCTAGGTAGGTCCAATCTTCCTACTCTTTGCTTATATCTCATATCATACTGTCACTGTCAAATCTCGACACTGATGCTGGCCCATCAACACCTGGATGGTTGCGGAAATTGCGTTGCTTGGCAGGAACTCGCTCCAAGTTTCCGGGAACTGATATCGTGGTCGTGCGTGACTCAGAAAGCATTGGACTAGGCCATGGACAGGGATAGAGCATGTAGTGATCCGTTCTGATGGGGAGCTGGACCATTCACAAGACATAGGCACAATTCACACACCCATGAGTCAGCACACAAAGACGACAATTCAAACGACCAGCATCCGCCGATTCACAAAGCAAGCAGGCATGCTTGTTGGCTCTGCAGCCGGGTTTGGATTCGTGTCATGGTTGGTGTAGTAAATAAAATGCGGGCGGCTTGGGGGGGAGGGGGCGCGCAGCCCTCTCCATTTGCAAACGTAAATGCTCAGTAGGTCGGTGTAGGTGAGGTTAGGTAGGGTTCGACATTTTGGGTTTAGGGTTTAGTGTTTAGCGTTGGCTAGGTCGAGTTTAGGTTAGGTAGGGTTTTGGGGGGTTTAGGGTTCTGGGTTGGATATGTTCTCAGTCCTGGCATGAAGCAGCTTCCAGATTCAAAAGGGTTGGTTAGGTAGGGTTTGGGATTTCGGTTTCAGGTTTTGGTTAGGGTTTGGGGTTTAGGGCTTAGGGTTTGTTAGGTCGGGTTCAGGTTAGGTAGGGTTCGGGATTTGGGTTGAGGGTTTAGGGTTTGGGGTTTAGGTTTTACGGTGCCAGCTGACGTACAGAGCCTGGGTTCAAAACAGGTTTTAGGATGGTTTAGGTGAGGTTAGGTAGGGTTCGGGATTTGGGGTTTAGGGTTTAGGGTTTGGGTTAGGAATGGCATGCCTGTAAAGCGGAATGAAGGAAAGGGTGAAAATGTGTAAAACCGCTGGCAAAGGCAGAGTGCCCCACTTGTTCTGGGTCACTGCCGCATAATCCCACTTGTTTTTTCATGCTTTGTCGCTCCTTGAATTACACACTTCCATATCAACGAGGGTGGACCTGAATGTTACAGTTTCGGCTGTATGCCAACTTGCCGCGGTGGCTTGTCAGAATCAGAATCATGGAGCAACACTGAGGCGAGAACACCGAGGGCATGTACACGGGAGAGGAGGCCGAACTGTTGCACTTGTGACCACAACGAAAGTGCCCGCGATGGATTCATTGACGGTGCCTAGAGTTTTGCTGCAGCGAATGCGGAAGAAGCATGCAGTTCAGCCATCCAACTACATGATACTACATGCAGCGCCCAACCAGTGCAGCACCTGCAATAGTCAGCCAAAGCTACAGCACTCGTTTTCACGTTGGCCTGGCAAGATGACAGTATCAGCAAACTGGTGCGAGGAATTTGTATATGTCTCAGGTACATGAAAGCAAAGACAGCATTGTGGCAACACGGCGGATCACGCGGCAGGCAGGCCATCGCGAATGATTGCCGAATGAAGCTGAGTGCAGACGACATGATGTGAGCAGAAGCCAGAAGTTTTGCGCAGTGATGAGCAGTGCACACGACGGCAGGGTGCTTTGCGCGTCGCGACTTTCGCCTTTGAGTTCGCCCGTGCACATGGCCGGAAGAAGGTCACTGCAGCGCACAAGGCCAACGTGCTTAGACTGTCAGATTCCCTGTTTCTGGACTGTTGCAGGCAGGCCGCATCCAATTTTACAGATATTGAGTATACAGAGCAACTGTGTGACTCTCTGCTTACGGGTATGGTGTTGCAGCCGGAGTGCTGGGACATAATTCTGTGCGAGAATCTTTTTGGCGATCTTGTGTCAGACTTAGCCGCTGGCCTTGTCGGAGGTTTAGGCTTGGCACCTTCAGCTCTTTATGGTGATGGAGGCGTTGCAATTTTTGAGCCTGCGCATGGCAGCGCTCCTGACATTGCTGGCCAAGACCGCGCAAATCCCACGTCCATGCTGCTATCAGCTTCGCGAATGCTTCAATTCCTCGGCGAGCACACTGCCAGCAAGATGCTCGAAGAAGCCCTTGAGGCAGTAATCAGGGAAGGCAAAGACACCACACCCGACTTGGGTGGCATCGCTGGAACTCAGCAAATGGCAGCAGCAGTGGCCAAGAAGATCCATGCATAGCCCCTCGCATGTGCACACTCTAGTGACAGTGGGAAGCACTGAATGGAAGAAATGGCCTGGTCGCCTGGGAGAGATTAACCGCCGGCTCGAAGGACTCGTCGCTGCAATGAGAAGAAGCATGGCCGAGCTGAAGCAAATTTCAGAAAACGTCAGGCTCCTGGCCCTGGATGAGGCTTGACATAAGCTTGACATGCCTGCGAAATCCTGAGCAGACACTTGGAAGATTCCCCCGAGGGTGAGGCTGTCAGAAGCGCACGGTGGGAAAATGCAACAAGCTTTGTTGCCCCATCATACTAGTAGGGTACATCTGTGCATCCGGGAAGCGCACAGCCTCTAAGGCCAGGGGGCAGCCTTTCAGAGGTTCGCTATCCGGCACCTCAGCCGCAGATCAACTGCTGGCGATGCACTGCTGATTCCGGCACCCGGTGACTGCAAATCCTGGACTCGCAGGCAGGCATTTACCTGAACAACAGCTTCCTTTATGCCACCGGCTCAGATTCATGAGGCTGTTGCATGAAAGGTCTGTTGCAGCCAGATCAACCTGTAAGCGTATTGAGACTGCAGTTTCAGAACATGCTACAAAACTAAAGCATATCTTCTCTGTTGCTGATTCTTGTACGTTTGCCCATGAAGCCAGGTTGTGGACTACGGAAACAGCCGCGTTCTGCAGGTTCTTCGTGGTAAGGAAGCGTTGAAGAGCTAGATGTTTGCAACATGCATGACGATCCATCAGAACAGAGGCAGATTGCCGTGCTGGTGCTGTTGTGCTTCCAGCTTGCTTGCTGTGCAGGGCGGTTGGATTCTGCATGCTCCTTAGTATCTCCTTAGTGGAGGTTGCTACAGGGGCATCAGTGGGACAGCGCGTCCCAGAAGAGGAGGCACCATTGCGTCACGATCATCAGCACATGGGCATAGTTTCCATCTTGGGGTGCCATGCCTTCCTCCAAGTTCCCTTCGCCAGGTGCTCCAGCTCCCGATTCTGCCCACCACAGCAGCCGACAGTTTCTTCGAGCCTCAGAATTTATTCCATATTTATTCCTATCAAGACCCTGTGCAAAGTGGATACTGCTTCTTATGTGCCTGCTATGCAAAGTTTTCAAAGTGAGCCGTCGCACTTCCCAGGACAGCTTTGGGAACTTTTACCGCGTTGACTATGGCAACCATCGGCTGACCGTTTGCTTCCGACAGATCACGCCGCTGGCTGAGTTTGTGTGGCTGTTGTGTGGCTACACCGAAGCACAGACATGTTCATAGCTGAGTGAGGTGCATTTTCAGCGCCTGCAAGGATGCAGATCCTGCCGCGGCCTTAGGCACGTCACATTTTTGCAGGCAACAGAAGCGACCAAGCAATGATATTACAAACAGTTCAGCCCCACTTGCGGAAGATATACTCGGATAGGAATCTCATTTATGGCAGTGTCGTTCAATTATGCAGGGATAATTGTCGTTCCCCCTCTGCTTTTCCCAAACGGTGGAAAGCTGTTCTTTCCAGGTGGAAATGTTTCATTGACCATTGGCAAAAGGGCAAGCACTTCGTTCTCCCTTTTGATGTCACTGCTCGGCACGGTTTCTGTATGCCACTTGAGATGTTCCAACTTTTCGAAGTTTTTCCTCATCTTTCAACGGAGACAAAGTCTTCCGCATGCTCTCGTTTCATGTGTTAATAAAGTACGCTCGGTCTTTGAAATACTCGTGAAGGACTTGGAGCGGCTTCGTGGTGCGCTTTAGATTTTCGCTTCTTGGTCGGACAGCTCTTCGGAGACTCCAGGAATACATACGCCCTGAATGCACTGGCCAGTACCAGTAACCCTAAATCCCGACAATCGCCGGCCCTCTCACCTGCGGTTTGCTACAACAGATTGTCAGGAAACATTCCAAATTCTGATTTTCCTTCCTCTGTGCAATCACATGCCACTGCCCTTTCGCTAGCACTCGAGGCGGCTACTCATGGTCCAAGCTGCGGTTGCACAGAGGACCGGCGAACAGTCGAACAGCACCGCTGTAAGCCCTGGCCACGCTTGATCAACTCAGATTCTTGTGTTCGGGTGCGGTCAGGACCGCACCGACTGCCGCGAGGATCGGGCCTTGGCCAGAAGTATCAGCTTGGATGCAGATGTTGCGCTTGCTTGGCATAGCCATGCGCAGCTCGAAGAGAGACTTAAAATTGGAGAAGAGGGGATTAGTGAAGCAGGTCTCTCAGAACTATTCTCCCTGGACAAACCAGAAAGGGGGTCTCCGAAAGAAACTGGCGATTCTTGCAGATGTGACTGGCGACGTGTGTTGGCAAAAGCCAGCGTCTTTTTCATGCAACGTGGGACAGTGATCCATGACGATCATGCTTGGCTGGCTTTCACGCAAAGTCTTCATCGTAGGAAAGTATGGGGCAGCTCCTCAGCCGTTAATCATATTGCCGGCTGCTTTGCGGAGGCAAACGTTCGAATTAGAAGGCAGGACGAAGGAAGGGATACCCTCACAAACCTTCGAACCTTAGCTTCCAAGATAAGAAGGTGGACATATGGAAATACAGGTTCACACACGAATTGTTCTGTGCATTCAAAGGTCATGCAGACATACCCTTTCGAGCATGTTCCGCAACAGTCGGTGAAGTTAGCTGCGCAGAAAATCCATGTGTTGCAATGTCTTTGTCGAAATGAACGCCCTTTCCCGTGCGCCAACACACTGAAGCTGGAGGCTTCTGGAGCTTTGGAGTGATGCGGCGTCAATGCTTGGGGGGCACCGCAGTCCCATACTTCCAAACATTTCCCAACGGGCTTTGCTAACAGGGCGAGGCCACCCCCGGAGCGGGTCAAAGACTCAGAGATGGCAGAGTGATCGACAGGGATGCATGCTTGCTCGAAACCTCAGCGGGCTGGACAGAACGAGAACACACCTGGAAAAGGCTTGCAGTAGGATGTTTACGCACACACACACACACACCTTGGCATCTCGCACATAGGCGGACTCGTAGCCATATGGATTCGCGTTGACATGCATTTAGTTTTCACGTGGTGACAGCCGAGCACTTGCACCAGATTGAGCCTTTGACCTCGCCCATGTACATAAAGCCAAGCCATGCCCTTGGCAAGTCTCACTTATGAGGAGGGAGTCAGCTCGGGGCCTTTCAAAAGTTCTTGATGTTGGGGCAAACCACGCTGCGTCACGAACCTTGCAGTTTGGACCTGGTCGTCTTTTGCAGTATGCTGCAGCTCCTTGTTTCAAGTCAAGAGCCTCGTAGGCATAAGAGCGTCAGGGGTTTGACACTCGTCATCACTCGTCCACTTTCACCGCTCAGAGAGCAATGTTCTTCTGGTGCTGCGTCGAAAGCTCTTCGAGTCCCAAGGCCAAGCCGAGTTGGAGATATCTGTGACTTGACATGCTGCCATAGAGAACTGCATCTGCGAGCCGCACTCGCAGTTCTATGGATTCTTCAGGGTTGCGAGTGGTTTGCCCAAGAACAGTACCTACAACAAGGAGATCGCAGAAAAACAGACGTCACCCAACGTCCTAACAGCAACTGACACGGGGTGCAGCGGGATGATAGCGGGATCCAGCGATCATTCTGGTTGCCCGCCCTAAGCGACTCAGCAACGTCTTGACAGCTTCGTCACATTGCATCTTTATTTTTATGGGAGACTTGCAGGATTTGCTACATTGTCTAGCAAGTAGTTGCAGCAGCTTTGGGGTAAATCATGCTTCCAACCAAGTGACTGACGTTTCTACCACACGGGCAGAGCTCAACTGTGAACATCGTGCAGCACTCGCCAGGGCGTCCATTTTGACGACCCTGGGGGCAAAGAGGCAGGGAGGAAGTAATTACGCTTCAAGACACGGGCTTTGGGAGGACACCCATTTGTAACACTGTCATGTGATCTGTCGGCAGGAATTAGATGCCGACGGAGCAGAGGAGAGCTGTTCAAAAGTTCAGATAGTTTGTCCTTCAGCGGTGGCCCACTCGGAGAGGGCATGACTCAGGCCAGGTTCGATCACAAATGACTCAGGTAAGTAGTTGAAATCATTGAAAGCAGTGCCACCGTACTTAACTACATGCAGCTTGCTTGGCACCAGTCGACACAAGCGCAGAGGCAATTTGCACTTGGAAACACCAGCTTGTTGCGTACTTTGGATGCTGCTGTTTTTCACCTTGTGATGTGAGTCAGGAGATGCCCTCACATCGCCACGGTCAAGTCTCCGTGACTGCGTTGCCCACCCTTGGCGATGAGGCTACAATGCCAACCCTCAGCGAGGAGGTGATGGCACTGCATGCCGTGACTGTTTTGCACCCCGCTGTCATGAATGAATGCATGCTTTAGCCATTCCGATGTGGTGTTTGGCTTTGTTCGCTTGTTCAATCTGAGAAGCTGCTAGACGGCCAACAAGGCCCTCAGTCCTCACATCGTCATAGGTCAGCAGCCAGCTTTCATCAAAGGCATCGCACAACGGCTTGCTTGTGATAACGCCAGGAGAGGCGGCATATCCAACAGTCTCGAATGGGGATGAGCCACCTCGGCGTCCCCCAGGTGGAAGTGAGAACTTGATTCAGAAAAGGATATAAAGGGAATGCGCAGCGGATCTCTCACGGCTATGTGTTGCACTTGAGGATTCCCACGAGTTAGTGCTGGAAGGGAGGGGGGTTACTTCCAGTGCCACCTGTTTCTGGTACCCGTTTTGGCAGGGGGCGAGAAGTCGTGGAAAGAAATTGGCACCAGGAAAACTATTCCATGCAACATGCGAGAGGTAGGACTCTGATATGCACTTATGTTATGTTGCGCTCAGCTTTCGCTGGGCTCAACATTCCCCAACTCCACCCCCTCCAATCAAAAAGACTGAAAGACAGCACTCTACTTTTTCATGCCTCGAGGGGTCCTGCAGGCAAAAGAGGCTGAAGTCATCAGCATCCCTGAGCATGCGAAGGACCTGGCCGTTTGGAAGTTTACCTATTCCGATTCGGAAGATAGTCTTGGGAGTGCACACAACTGACCCGCAGGTTTGAGTGGCTTTCATTTAACAGGCAGATTAAGCAACTAGAGGCCACAGACCATAGGACCGGGATCTTTATGTGAAAGTTGCATTTGTCCGGGTGCCATAATGCGCGCACCGGTTGGAGTTGCGAGGACACTACGTCCACAGTGGACACTGCGGCTGCGCAGCCGCTCGCACAGCCGCTGCAGGCGGCCGAGGCCGTTATGGAAGGGGAGAGTTTAGCCAGCTGTTGCGCGACATCTGACTACTGTGCCAATCGCTTGTGCGGATGCTGTCACAACTGTGGATCCACTAGGCCTGTGCCGGCTTGACTTCGACTCATAGAACGAGGCAAGCACAGTGGTATGGCCTCGTATGGCCGTGGTTGAAGGGCAGAGTGCCTGCAGAAGAGCGCGTAGCACAAATGCACGCGTTGATTGTGCAGGCCGTGCTTGCAGAGACATCTTCCATGCTAATTTCAACTCATACTCATCTGTCAGTGTGCTGCAAGATCATTGCACCAATTTGCACCACCAACAGAGAGACTAGGAGGGACGAACGCGTAGGCTGCTGGGCCGGGCCGCAGACTCGCGATGGAAGCTTCGGCGAGACGAGCTTCACATGCAGAGAGAGCTCCGCAGTCAGCACTCAGTGCCAAGCTCTAAACATGCCACAAGTCGGGCCACGACTCCACGAGTCGGGTCCAAGCCTTCAACCCATTCAACCCTCAGCTTCACAGATCCAGAAGCCTCCAGAAGCGCCTTGATTTTTTGAGGCTTAGCCGAACGCTCAAGAGCGCGCTCTACCTAGCCACATGGAAGGGGACTGAAGTGGCTCAGCCAAGTTGGTCATAGTTGCTTTAGGCGTGTTCATTTGCAAGGATGTGAGCATTTTAGCGAGTGCTCAGGCATGGTCGGGATACCCTGAAGACACTGCATGTGGACCCTGATTTTACTTGGCCCACAAATTCTAACAGCCATTTGTCAGCACTAAGGTGGTGATGAAATGTGTGCTGCCCTCGACTGTGCTGCTCACGTGCTGCATGCGGTTGGCAATCTACGACTTTGGAAGTAAGCCGAGTGCAATGCCTCGTGATTTGCTTCTCACACACAGCATTTGCAGAGGTGGAGGTCCCGGACAGTTTCGACAGGAGTGCCGGGCAAATCCAACATCAAGATAGCTATTGAATCCACGAAATACAGGGTTTGTCAGGTAGATGCTCGTGATACGTTGTGCCCTCATTTGCCCTCAACCTCCGGGCGATTACGCTGACCGTGGCCAACAGTGATGACAGCATCCGTCCTCCAGTACGCAGCCGCGTTTGTAATAAAGTTGCAGTGAGAATTTTTAGAGATATACGATTGCAGAAGGCACCATCTCACAGAAGGATATCTAGCAGCATAGAGCCGATTGTTGCGAGGACCGACGAACCCAAAAGAAAGACTTCTAAGGCGGGTGTGGGGGGTCGATTGGAGTTCTGGTGCAGCTGAAGGTGGCCGAGATGCATACACAATCGTGAAGCTGTATCCCTGCTACACACTTGTCCGAAGAGCAGAAGAATTCTTTCTCCCGTTCTTGGCATCCAGGAACACTTCGATCCAACTGCATCACGTGCGCTCCACGCCTCCGAGGTCAACCAGGCGCATGGCTTGGCCAAGTTGTAACTCAAGAGAGCTAAACAATTCGAATGATGGGGCGTCCATCGAGCTGGGGTTCAGGCCTTTGAAGGTCCCAAGATGTACAGACGCGAACTTTAACCTGGGCCAGGTGTTGAGGCCCTAGGGCCTTGGGGCATTTGCCCTTTACACATCTGGTTGGCCGCACCTGCCCCGAGCACCAACAGGGCCACGACTTGGGTTTTAACATAACAGCCATTGCCACAAGTGCAATGTTTGCAGTAGGGTTTCTGGGGCGTAGTCGTTTTAGGGTTGGTGCTGTGAGTCGTTTTCGACTTGGTTTGGATAGGGTAGACTGGGTCCCCCCACCTTACAAAGAAAATCTTAGTTGAAACCCGCTGCAGTTCATGGGGAGGTTGGGTTTAGATGTTGCACACGAACTACATGTTTAACCTCCTTAACAGTTGCTGAACAATTTCCGGATTGTTTTCGTTTGGGGGAGGGGGAAGGTTGTAACGTAGTAAGAGCCGGAACGGATTAACTCAAGATCCAGGCCGGCATAGCCAGGGCTTTTGAAAAAAAACTAAACCCTAACGGCCATAACATCCGCAAATGAGGCACCTATCCATCCCAAACGCTTCCAAAACCTAGGCCCTGTCAGATCCATGCAGTGTGGTTTATCCATCTGTGTGGGAGAGCGAAAGAGAGAGAGAGAGAGAGAGAGACATCGCCACCACACCCCAGCCGAAAGCCATGGGGGAAGGGAGGACAAACTGCAAGACGACAAGAACACCCAAGAGCCAATGAAGAAGCAACCCACCCACCAATGGACGAAGAATATGAAGAAGTACAGGTGGACCCGGGAGATGATGGACCCATAAGCCCTGCAGTACCACATCCACACCTCAAATCCTGGTGGAAACACAGGAATATACAACTACATCGGGGTGCCACAACTTCGACTACCACATCGCCGACTACCACTTCTCCTACACCACCAACAGTGGGCGCCAAGACAAGAACATCGCACCAACCCTCAGCTATGCAACACATGCGACAACACCCAGCAGGAGCTCTTCCACCACCACATCGCACAACCAAGAAGCCGATGACAGTATCTGGGAGTGCACCGTGTGAAACACCATCGGGCACTCGGTGGGAGCAGAGACATGAGAGTGCGCCATGTGAAATACCGTCGGGCACTCGTCATTGGGAAAGCCATGGGGGGCAAGAAGAAGAAGGCAGCCACTGGGAACAAGAGGACCACGATGCACGCCCGCCACTGCAGAGGAAGAGGAAAAGGGAGCACGACCGAGTTGGCTCGAATATGGGGGCTACAATGGCAACAACAAACTCAACCAGCATGGCACCCTCTCCCACGACCTCGCCGACAAGAGGGGAAGACCTCGCGAACCAGATTCGAAGGGTGGCGACGACGACACCAAAGCACCCGCCAAAGCGCAGATGAACACAGCCCTTCATCATCGACTGCCACCACGATATCACCTCCACTTCAACCACGGAACCTTCGCAGCCACGAGAAGCAACACAACCTTCACCATCGACTACCTCCTTGCTTTCACTTCCACTTCAACTGAACCTTCGCAGCCGTGAGAAGCAAAATGAGGGTCATAACAGTTTTTTAAGTATAAGAGGAACGGGAAACCCCAAGAGTCTGGAAGCCTTGCCTGGTGGGAGCCCTTTCGGGGGCGAGCTGCTTGCAGCCTAGGCAGGGGTGAAGGATCGATTCCAACCTGTCCTTCCTCCCCTCGTGGGTCCCGGGTGCTGGTAGGTGATTGTGGGGGTTCTTCGGTTGTTGGGGAGGGGGACATTGAATAGGCACTCTTTCAACCCGCTTTTGTCCAAGCCATCCTGCTGGACCAGTATTCTAACTTCAAAATAGGCGCTCCGTTTTCCCTAGCCACTGCCGAAACCGTAGTGGGGGGAATCTCACATTTCACATTTCGTGATATCAAGTGCCACGGCTCCAATTCAGGGCGGTTTCACTCCACTCCACGATACATATCTGTAGACCCAGGTCCACCCAACAGAGGCATCTGGGAAAGCACGTTTTTGCTGGGCACTTCGTTCTGGGGGAACCGCACTTCGTATATCGCAGTCTTGGTTGCTTATGTTTCGGCACAGTGCCCAAAGACGGGCTCCTCATCGAACCACACGGTGGCCGTGCCTGAACACAGAGGCAGCACCGACACATGAGACATAGCAAACCAAAAAGTGGTTGGAAGTTGGGCTCTCTTGCGGCCTTGTTTTTGGGCCCTTCCAAGCTTTGCCGGCCAAGGAGCTGCCGTGTATGGCCTCTCTCAGCTGCTTCATCACCTCGTCGTAGGCGGTGCCTCCAGGGACGGAAGCCCCGACCGCCGGAAATGCCTGCCGCATGTCAAAAAAGCAATTGGAACTGTGGTAGTAGGTGAACACGAGACCAGTCCCTGCAGCTTCTCGGCATCGTTGCACGAAGTTTGCGTCCTTTTCGATGGCTGGAGCCGCAAAGTGGACCAGCCACCAGGCCTTCGTGGCCTTCACCGCCTTGAGCAGAAAGCTGCGGTCCGCTCGAAGGGACTCGGCGGCTTCATCGAGGGCAGAAGGATTCTTTTTCAGGGCTTTCAGCACGAAGTCGTGGTCGGCTCGCAGCTCCTCCGCCGCATATTCGAGGAACAAGCCATCCTTCTCCACGGCGGCCAGCATCACCTCCCGGTCGGCAAGGAGCTCCGGCTTAAAGCCTCCGAGTTTTTTGAGGATGGTCAAGACCATCGGTGCGTCGCAATAGCGGATGTTGCGGAGGACAAATTGGCGTCCAGCCTCTGCTGGAAAAAGGGGGTAACGGGCGTAGGGCTTTAGCTGGCGCTCAGCTGTTCATGTGTGTGTGTAAGTGTAAGTGTAAGTGTCAGTGTGAGTGTAAGTGTAAGTGTAAGTTCCACCCTGTTTTCGTACCCCCACTGCAACACACAGGGGGGTCACAATATTTCACCGACAGACTCAGTGGAGCACGCCCGTGAGGGCGACCTCCCTCTGGGAGGTTATGTGCGACGGAAGGAAGGAAGAGAGAGAGAGAGAGAGTGAGAACTTTTGTTGCTTCTGTTTGGGGGGAGCTGCAAGCGAAGGAATCAACAGCAAACATGGGCCGGGCAAACACCCAGACTGGACCACGAACCCAGGCGCGCCTCGTGAGCGGAGGGTGTGCTTGCGCGCGCCCTTCAAGCCCTGCAGAAGAAGAAGAAGAAGAGGAAGAAGAAGAAGAAGAAGAAGAGAGAGAGAGAGAGAGAATGCACTTGTGTTTGGTGCGAACATCCACGCCCTCAGTTACGCCGTTTTCACACTGACCTTGGATACAATCTGGGTGCGCCCTGCGCGCGGGGGGGGTCCGCTCCCCTCAAGAAAGAAATTTTAAAAAAAAAGCAAGAAAGAAAGAAACCGCCCCGTGCCCTCATGCCCCCAAGAAAGTAAGTTACAAGTTACAAGTATTCAGAGGCAAATAACCGGGGGGAAGGGACATGAATACTGCGCGCGCTTCTTTGGGCTGGAGTCATGGTGCGCCCTCGCGCAGGGGGACCATCCCGGGGGACCTCTCAAGCCTGGCAAAACAAGAAGAGTAAAAATCCTAAAGCCTTCTCCTTGCTTCGGAGTTGTGGGTTTTGGGGATTTTGGGGGTTTAGGAGGGGTCCCTCGAGTCCCGTCGTGGCACATCTGTGAGTTTCTTTTGGGGCACCATAGACCGCACACCGCGTGCGGAGTGTTGAGCATTGCTGAGCCTACTGCAGGATCTGTTGGAAGAGTTGCTGCACGAGATCGAACTCCTCTCTTCTCTGCGGCACCCAGACTTGGTGTTGCTCCTTGGTTACGTGAAGTGATAGGGGGACAAACGGGCAAGCGGTGTACTGTAGCTATAGTTACTAAGTTGCAGTTACTTATTCAATGACACTGCTTGGTTTCTTTGGCGCAAGGATTACAAGCCAGGTCTCCATGTCCTGCCATCGACAGTTGCAGTACAGTAGCGAGCCTCGATCTGAGGTTCATTGGTGCATGTCTGGACAAGGACCGTGCTTGGTAGAATTTGGTTCAAACAGAGAACACAACGCGCGACTGTTCACCATCGAGCACTCGCATTCTTCCTCGGACCTGCACTGTGAGATCGCTTCGCCGTCTGCTCCGGCATTCGTCAAGAGGCCTGGCTGTCAGAAAGGGGTAGGCATAGCCATTTTCACTCAGGGGTCTTGGCGCCATCCCTTTCTGCCACGCGATCCGAACGGGGTATAGTGCTTGTCCTTAGATCTCCATCGCACGCAATGGCCCTCCCAGAGTGTACTATCAGTTGCAAGAGGCACTGTACTACATAAAAGTATCACAGTCGACACAGGTCAACATCGAGATGCAATCACAGAGGACAACAATATGCTTGGTCAGGTTTGTTTGCTCTTGTCAACAATGATGGGCTGATGACTCCTCATGCGTGGCGACTTCCTCAGGGAGGAACCAAGCGGGTCTGCCTTGGACTAGGGTGTGCAGACTGAAACCGATACGTGGCGCCATGCACAGAGGCAACCACCCAAATAAGGGAGCTCTGATGCGGTGATGACCTTCATCAGCGCCTCTGTCGTATCGAGCCGTCCGCTTCGGTCACTGCGAGCTCGAGCCTGCACATGCTTCGTCATCTCTTAATGTGCTGAACTTTGTGTACCTGCACTCCTGGCCGCCAAACTTCCGCAAAGAACAGCCTTGCAGCCCGCAAGCAGCCTTAACATGTCTGCTTCTGGCGTGCAGTTGTCCGCATGTCGGACACTTGTCTGGCCGAGAGGTCCAGGATCTCAGCCTAGATGTGGTACGATGTACGGGCTCATAACAATGACAGCGTTCTTGGGCATTTTGCGTGCACGCTAAACACTCAATAAAGTATTACGATTATTTGGGTGCATCTTATGCACAATTATGATAATAATCTTGTTCTCTTCGCAAAATCTCAATGAAAAAACAAAATGCGTCGCCCTTGTTCCTCACGTCCATTTCAGGTTCACTCGCTCGCGCATCTTCTGTGCTGTGGGATCACATTAGTTGTCTCCGGCGGTGCCTTGCGCAGGACTCTCCGGTGATGTGCATCACAGAGTACATGCCCGGTGGGGACCTGGAGCGTCACTTCATGGCCACTGGGTAGAAGTTCCGTGCGAAGATTGTCATGATGAATGATGCTGCAGGATGCCGAGCATCACATAAGGCACCAAAGGATTCTCGAATCTCTGAAAGTTCAGAACAAGGCTCCCATTGGCATTCCTTTGAACAAGCACTACATGCCTAGAATGGCCGGAAAAAACAGCTTGCGAAAGTCAGTGACACCTTCAGGTTTTCCTTCAGGTTTTTCCGGTTGCGCTTTGCGAGACACGGAAAATGATGGCACCCTTCAAATGAAGCACCGTCTGTTTACTTGCTTGTCGTGCCTTCATGCCAGCTATCTCGAAACAAGAATAGTCCCGAGAGGTAGCTCTTTAGCGGGTTTGCTCTCGCTCTTGCTTATATGCATAGTTTTTGTAGGTCATAGGCTTTCTTGACCCTAACATCCGACGTATCCAGGAGTTACGAGTAGCGGTTGGCACGCGGTTTGCTTGCCGATCGTTCTCTTGAAAGACCCACGCACAATCGATGAGCTGAGTGCACGAACGTGTCTACTGCTGGCGGTTGCTTAGGCCATGCGCCGGAAGCATCAAACAAATATTTGGCGGCCGGCTTTCAAGCAGATTCTGGACTGGTCTTTGGCGCCTTAGCACCGACATAGTCTCGGGGCTCCCAACTTCGCAAGCAGGGCTTTGCACTCCTCCTGACTGCTTGGAGCGTGTTTGCGAGTTTGGGCCGCATCCATGCAAATGACAGAAACTACTCATGATGTACAGGCGGTTGCACGTGCGCTCAGCTTTCTGCACACCCGCCTCTTGGCTTGACCTGAGCACATTTGCAATGGTGTGCAATCGTGGGCCCTCAGGCCCCCATAGAACTGGTTGGAACATCGTTTGCAACTGCCGCAAGCTTTTCATGATGTCCCTGTCAGTTGTGACAAGGAGACGAGCCCATCATTCACCGCGATCTCAAGCCGCTAAATTTGTTGCTGCGCTTCGTTCACAAATGGGATGCGCAAAGCCGTTTTTCATGTGGCCAGCAGCACGAAGCCTCAAGCTTAATCGGCATCGCAGTGGATTGAGGACAAAACATGGCGAAGTCAAGATCGCAGATCTCGGCATCTCAAAGATGATGAGCCTCGTGCGAAGAACACAGCTGTAGTCCCGGCCAGGGTGACTCCCAGTCTGTTGAGGTGTTATGGGAGGATGGTTCTTGCGAATGGTTGTTCGGAATGGGAGGTCGACGAGGCGTGAAGTTAGATGCTAACGGTTCAAAGGCACCTTGGTCCCAGAACTGACTTTACGGCCTTGTTCAGGAATAAGCTGATGTTTCGCTTTTCTTAACTTTTGATGCTAAGCGACCCCCTCAGCCGGGTCTGCCCAGCTGCGTTCTTTGAGATGCTTCGTGCGCTTGGTTTAGGGGCTTCTGGCAGTAGTCCCCTGGTCCTGATGCACCGTCCGCTTTCGGATACCTGTCGGCTAGGCAAGCTACCCAGTAAAAGCGAGAAGGTGCCAAATCCCGGGCCGTTGGGGAGGGAGTTAGAATTGCTTTATGCTCCCCAGACACCTACGTCCTGAGGCTTCGGCGGATTTTAAATTGAGATGGTCTTAACGAGCTTATCTACTATTTCGCACAGCTCTGAGATGAAGCAAGCAGACCAAAAAAGACAGGTCAGTTGGCAGAGGATAGCTGAATAAAGATAGTAGGCCAGGAAGGTTGAATAACTTTTTTTGTCTAGCATAATGCTGCGCGCTTCCCCGCGATGTGCCATTACGAGCCATGAGTACACTGAGGGCAGCAGTGGCCGGTGACGTGTACCACATGACCGGTGGAGTCGGCAGTTGGCTCTACATGGCGCCAGAAGTCGTCAGGCATCAAGCGCATTTTTGAGTCCTCCCGACAACCAATGCTCTGCATAGCGGTTGCAGCATGTACAATCTGCAGCAGCACAACGCGATAATTCATGAATGACTATGCCGGGTTTGGCAAAACAAGACCAGCGCATTGAGATCACAACGCAGTCTCACAGCACCGTCGGCGTTTCTGAAGTGAGCCCCGGAAAGGCATCAGCAGTACAACGACTCTTGGATGGCACCATGTCGATGCGTAGACCATGGAGCAAGAGAACTTGCGACTGGGAGGGCAGGTGCGATAGTAAGTGTACGCATACTATGGGCCGCTGATGGTTACTGTCACGATCACCATACCTATGACTGTTATTATGTAAGAATGATCTGAGGATGTAGGGCTCATACAAAATTGATGGAAACCCAACCCGCCAGACCCTAAACTTTAAACCCAAAATGCTAAACCCTGCACTTTAAACCGTAGCTCTTGCTTGTTGTTGTTTGTTGATGATTGTTGCTGCTCTTGTGCTGCTTCTCTGGATTTGGACTCTTGTTGCTGCGTTGTCGGTTGCCGCCTGCTTCTTGGATGTGAACAAAGGTGCCACACAACACGACGAAAACACTGCAAATTACGATGCGAAAACCACTGCTAAACCCCAAAAAGTCCGTCCTAACCTGTGTTCAGGGTTTCGGGTTGCCAGAAGCCAAATCTCAAACCCTGACATCCTAACGCCCGAAATCCCCAAACTCTAAAAATGTTTAACACCCCATATCTGACAGCCTGCAAGCCCCCCAAACCCGCGAACCTCCAGCGCTCGAATCCCCAAACCTCCAAAGCGTTGAAGGCCCTGAACCCGAATCCCGACACCCTAAACCCTCCTGTTGTCTTTGACTTAGAACTGAGGAGGGGGGGACCGCATTCGACTTTCAGAAACAACAGCACAGATCGAACCCCCTCTGTTCCTAAGATTTATGGGTTGTGTCAGCGGTTATGTGTTTGCTTTGCTTACTGGCTGAGTTAAACACGGGAGGACTTTTCGGGACGCACTGCTTGCACAAGCTCACCCTGTTTCCTTCATGCGAGTGCTTGGTTGTAGCGTTTTGGTTGGTGTTGTGTGGGTTTGGGGTGTTGGTTGTTATTGAATTGAAGGAAGGAGGGAAGATCGAAAGACACGATCACCTCAAAGTAGTGATGTGGCGTAAGTGGGTACTTTTCTGAGTCGTGACCTTTCAAGAGAGGGTTGCTGGGCCAGTTTTTCTTCCTTCTTTACAGAGCAACACCATAAACCCTGCCTGCGGTTCGGTCAGCTATGCGGAAGCGACAACAACCACAAACCCAACCCCCCCGGCGAAAGCAAGCCAAGCCTCTCCTTAGCTTCGTCGTGAGGACCCTAAGGATTTCTTTTTTCTCTCCAGTCTCGTTGCACAGTGTACGTACGTAATGACCCCCAACCCAACCCAACCACCAGCCCCCCCCCCCCCCCCCGCAAACCCCACCTGCCAGAGCGATGCCGCGCACAGGCAGCAAACCCTGTAAGAACGAACCGATGTTTTCAAAGCCTTCGTGGCACGGCAGCGGCACACACCACTGTACATAACGAGGTTTTCGAGCACGTGTGGACATAGGAAAACGTCGAAAACTTCATCATGCACGTCGTGTTTGGCCTGGAGACATATAAAGCACTGTAAGAAGCAGTGTTCTCGGGCACGTGCGAAGCCTAGGGCCTAACGATTGTGAAGCTGACACATCGACAACCCTTCCACGGCATCGAGCAAGGCGCCTGGCAACAACAATTGCTGCTGCTGCTGCCGCCGCCGCCGCCCGCCGCCGCCGCTGCCGCTGCTGCTGCCGCTGCCGCCTGCCGCTGCTGCTGCCGCCACCACCACCACCGCCGCTACCGCTACCGCTACTGCTACTACAATTTTTGCTGCTACCATTACTACGACGACTACTATCACTACTCGAATTACTTCTTCAGTCATTGCTAGTACCTGCGACTAACTGCTACGAGTCTTCCCTTTTCGCTAAACTCGCTCAGTGAAACATGTACAGCCTTGGAGTCTCATTTCATCTCATTTCGGCAGCTGGCTAAATCCCGCGCCTCTCCGGGTAGCTGTGGACGCGGGACATTGGCAAGTTTGCTGTAGAAGCGATGCCTAGCCCCAAATGTCTCAGTCGTGGCCTCTAGTTTTTGCCCGCTGAGCACGCATGTTCTCAGGAGAAGGCTGATATCTACGCCTTTGCTTTAATCCTGCGACTTGGCTGGTTTGAGAAGTTGAGGCAGCTTTTGTCGGTTTTCATGCGGTAAGCCAGAGCATTGATGCAAGGAGCATGCGCGGCCCTGATTTGCACATGCTTGTTCATGCAAGAGCACTTCTTGGGGTACGGTTTGGGGATAAGCTGCTGAACAAGCACGATGCGGTAAGCAGAAGTCACCCAAAGATTCCCAACTACTGAGAGGCTCTAGCCCCATCGCGCTCGCACATGTTCCACACCCCTCGCGCGAATCGAAGGTACTTCATGAGCTCGGGACGCCACCCCTTCCACGAGATATCGAAAGATCCGGAAATGGCACCTAGCTTATCATTACAGAGTGACATGGTCCGCAAAGCACGCCCCGCAGCAGTAGAGGCGGCAGCGCGGTGTTCATAATGGTATGTTGAAGCCGAAGGTTGAGATTCGGTGTTTTTCAGCACCTGAGGTCTTGAAACAAATTGCCCAAGGCAAGGAACCGAGGCCGGGTGAGCTCTGCAGCGGTATGCGGCGATTGTTGCATGCTGCCACCCTGTCGGATATGTTGATATTGGGGGCTCATCCCACGGGTATCTTTTCTCGATGGGCCTGCGGCTAATTCAACAACAAAAGCACCTGCATCGCACCAGGAAAACGACTTTGCCTGCACATGCCGTCAAAACAGCCTCTGCTCACGACTGCAGCAATCCGAGGCAGCAGAGATCCAAAATATCAAGCGACATTGTGCAAAGATTGGCATGCTAGCCCGTGGGAGCTAGCCGAGTCTCTTACCAACCGTAAGGCCGTAAGGTTGAACAACGGGGTGTGGGGAGCGGGTCCAGCTAGGGGTGTGTGCAAATTGGGGCCGCCTGAGCTCCTCAAGGCACCTTGTCTGCCTTCATGGAGGTTCGGGGCGCTTAGGCTAAAGCGCCACTCAGGCTCAGGAGCAAAAAAAGGGTAGCAACCCACAAGAGCTGTATGCAAGGCTTGTGCAGAGAATTACCGTGACGTGCTGTTGAACAATTCTGTTTGCACATATAGCTCACAGGATACGTTCGACATATCAGCTTTCCAGTGCGACAACTTTTGGACCAGCCCTACCTACCCTGAGCAAGGGCGGCCTTGAGTATGGCGCATGGGATGTCCCTGCAAGCATCTGCTAGTGAACTCTTGCTAACATGACAAAAAGTGCGGCATGGGTGCGTGTCTCTTCTGCGGTCTGCATTGTTTCGTGACCTTCCGTGTTTAAGTGTTGATCCTGTTGACACTTCCCGTTGATGCCCAGTCCAGCTAGAAAGGCTACATCCACAACCAGCGGCGACACTTCACTGCCCCGAGCCGGCATCTTCTCGGGGCCCTCACTAGCTTTCGTTCCCTGCCCGTCCCCCACAAGTAGCAACAATGATGACCATATCGTACAGAGCCACTTTGAAGTTCCCCAGGTCAGCACACGGTTTAAGACCATAACTGGGTGTCAATGTAAACGTCCTTGCAACGAGTTTATGCAAAAGCTGGCTTTTCATTGCATGTGAGCGTCCCCGAAAGTTCCGCGAACAGGCGTGTGAAAGGAAATCATTTTTCTGGCGAAAGACTGGCGAAGGCTCCGCAATAGTTCCGCGCAAGTCTGACGGACCCCTGGCCTGCCTGGACCCTTGATTCCTGAACTCAATTCTGAGCTCAGCCCCTTGAAACCCCAGCCATACTTGTAGATTGAATCTTACCTGAAACATCTGGATCGTTTGGCTGCAGACACAAAGCAAGCTCCAGGACAATAGGCTTAGGGTTCCGAGGTGCCCGCGATTCGGTGCGCTACAGTCCTGCGACAGGAATTTATTCTTTTGCGCTGCCAGCCCTCGTCTGAGTGCTGGCATTATCTTCATTATCTTCCACAGCCTCTCGGTAAGCTCCCTGACAGCCCAAGCCCTGAAACGACGACAGCGCCACGTGGATCAAGAGCACAAGTCTGGAAAAGTACTGACAATACTGCAACGGGTATGTATTTCCAGTTGGGAATGAGAGAGCTGGGAGCACCAACGCCATCATCGAATGAGCATCGATCTGGAAAAAATGCACAATCTGGTAGCACACACGCAATCATCGTTCGAGCATGATGGCGGTGGTTGCCTGGGATCGGTAGTTGCGCAACGCATGTTTCGAGAGGATCCGGACCAACAACCAACAACGACAACTCATACAGCCGATATTGGGCGGAATTCTCTGCAGGCTTCTCTGAGTGGCTACTCTTAGACACCATTACACGCCCTTAAGTCTATCACTGTCTGGCACTACCGTCCAGAGCGAGGTGCCCGACTGCAGGACCTGCCTTCCCGAGGCAACACCCCGTCAGCAAAATCACACACAGTCGGGGCTGACATGCTTGGACCAGGCCCAATACTGCCGAGTGCCATGCTCTGCTACGTCCGCTGATGGACGAAAGTTGGCATGCCCCCTCCTCAGCCGTTTGCATTGATTCTTTACCGGTCCGCTGCTGGGCACGTAGGATAACGAGTTGAGTTGCAAGAAAGAAAGAAAAGCTGAGAGTGAGAAGAATAGTTTTGGATGCCTCCCGTTGGTCCTAACCCCATGCAGGTCGACCAGCAACGGCGGCCATCTGCACAGCGGATTGCAGTCCAACTACGCGAGGCCGCCGCGAAATCTCAACTGTGCGCACTGCAAGCATCCTCGGACGTCGGTGCATCGCGAGGTCGCCGACAGCTACACGCCATCCACGTGCTTATGTACCAGGGCATAGGCTGACAGGCAGGAGATGGCGTAGTGGAGCCGAAAGATTCGATCTGCAAGCCCATCGTGTTAGGGGCTCCGGGAAGCGTAGTTTCTGTTATAGGACGGGGATCCCATTCGTTTGCGAAACCTCTTGCAACCTTCAGGGCTCTGCCCGTACGCCTGTCCACTGTCAACTGTCGCCAAAAATGGGTCTGATGATGCTGAGTATGGCATGAACAAGCCTGAATGGATGGATAGGCACGAATTATCGTATGGGTCGATCCTGCTTAGTTTGAATATTGTGGCAAGCCAGCCACAGATAAGCCTGTGGACCTGGCTCACGACTCCAAGTGCCCGAATTCGTTCCGAAGGTGCTTTTTTGTGCGAAATGCTTCCCAGAGGCAATTCGCACGGGCTCTGTTGCCAATGACAACGGGACGAGCCCACAGCACAATCTGGCATCGGATAGAGGTGCAGAGCACATTTTTTAAGTATTGCTGTGGTCTTTGAGTTCGACTGGGCGGCAGTCAGAGCAGTTCTGCAGATCCGTGTCCTGTTAACTGTATTTGAACCACGGGCAAGTTCTTGCAGCCTGATGAGTGATAAATCAAAAGGCAGGGCTAGGCCTCGTAGTCAAAGTAGCAGTCATTGAAGCGGCATGGAGCAGCCACATGCTACATCCTCAAAGTAGCCATCGTAGCAGCTTGGAAAGAAGAATCGCAACCTAGGCGGGAGCCAACAGTCATTTGGAGGCAGCAGATGTTGTCGGAATGTTGTTTCTATTTAGTGGTGTGTTGCAGTTAGCAGTATGTCTGAAGCATGTGCTCAGCTAAAGCCACCTCCATCAAAGCTGAATTGCATGCTGCAGCTAGTGGGAATGTAGTGGGAATCTAGTAGCACAGACGTGGACGCGTTGCTTTGCGAGATGATGGGATCTGCGTAAAGATCAGCTCTCTTGCACTATGGCTTTCCGAACGAATTGCCCATGTAGGCTCCATCGGCGTAGAGGCAGCTGGTGGCATACATTATCGTTGGCAAGTAGATGAAAAGTACATGCGCAATTTCAGAGAAGGCCGTTTACGATTTGTGCCCCTTCGATTCTGGCATGACCGTGCCTGTTGCTTCATGCAATTATGCCAAAGGCAGGCACCCAATCCGGAAGACTTTTCATTCTCTTTCCTCCGAGTGCAGGCCATCGGATTTCCAGGTTTCGTTGTCGAAGTCAGCGAAGACCGTCGCATGGAGACCTGCAACCAGTGTACCCTGCCTATGCGTTTCGGCACTAAAGCAGTGCAGATGCTGCAGTTTCTGCAAAGCGGAGAATCTAGCAGCGCTTGAGTTGGACCTCTCCAGACGCCCTTTATCAAGAAGGTTTGGTCAAGACATATAAGAATATAAAGAAGTAGAGTACGCAGGTAGGGTTTTTGGCTCGTGTTTTGGGACCGCGCCTTCTGGACGGCGGAAACAAGCACGAGGAACAAAAAACACTGTGTGCACATTTGCACCCCAGGATTTCCTTCACCTTCAGCCTTCAGAAGGCTTTTCCGAGTTCTCGGCGCTCGCCCGGCCGAGAGCAGCACACTTACCAACCTCCATGTGGTGCGGCTCTTGCTCCTTTACTTCGCTGGTCCCCAGGCCACATACCTCCTCCGGGTCGGCCGGCATAAGACAACACCATGGGCATTTCGGGATTTCGAGGCAGAATTCAATGTTTGTTTCTGAAATATCTGGAAAATGTTTAGGGGATTTTGGAACGCAACTGATACGGATATACAATTGAAAGAACGAAATGACTTAAAAACATCGGTGATACATTCGGGCTTTTTGGTGGAATCTTGGACAATTAATAGATCTTGAAATTTTAAAATATAATTTGGGAATCTAATTTCTTATTTTATTAATTTTTCTTCTATTTTTATTCAGAGAAAGGGAATATTTCTTTATTGATTGAGAGGATATACGAAAATAGAAAAGAAATATATATAATATTTTATGTTGGTTTTTTTGAAGAATATTTATTATTGATGTCATTCTTATTTTCATAATATTAATGAATTACTTTTTGAAAATTGAAAAAGTTATGATGAGTAGTCTTTAATAAATAAGGAGTCATAGAAATGATTCTCGGATATCGATTATATAGTTTTTTGTCTGCAATTCATAAGATATATATAATCGAAATTATATATTTATATATGTAAAAGAGGAATTTTATCGACGATATATATCCCTATAAAAGGCTACGGGCTCGACCCCTATTTTCGCTCTGCGGCCGCCCCGTCGGATGCCCCGCCTCCTCTTCCGGTCCATTTGGCTGCTTGTGAGGGCCTTGCAGGGGGATCCTGAAAATTCCGGGAATTTTAACACTTTTTGTCTAAAAATCCTGGGAATTTTGGGAATCACCCGGAGTTGAAAATTCCCGGAATTTTAGGAATTGTCCGGATTGAGGTTTGGGCTTGCCGGGTTGGATTTAAGGTTCCAGCGCAACAGTGATGACGTGGGTGCCCCTTCACCTTCAAGGAAATCTTCAAGGAAATCTCTTGGTCCAGGGTAGTTCCGATGACGGTCGCCGCCCGCCAGCTGTTCAAGGGGGTTCGGCCTCACGATCACATATCAGCAACAGCTCTCGAAAAATCCTAGGAGTTTAAATTCCGGGAATTTTCGGGATCCCCCGGGTTCAGGGTTTTACGCTTTACGGTGTAGGGTTTTGGGGTTTAATAGAAATTGTATAGGGTTTGTGTCCGGAGTTTTGTCGTGTTTTGGGGGGGTTTTGTTTTTTGCTTTTGCTGTAATGGTTTGGGTTCTGTCGGGTGTGGTGGGGGGTGGGTGGTTTTGGGGTGCTCAGGGGTTGGGGCTGAAAGGCCGGGGTTTTGGGGGGTTTTCCCGAATGCCCGTGGTGGTGGTCCCGTGGTGGGGGTCCGTGGTCCCGTGGTGTTCGTCGTGGTGGTCCCACAGCGTGCGTGGTGGTGGTCCCGTGGTGGTGGTGCTCCTTTGGTAGTGGTGGTCTGTCGTGGTGGTGGCGGTGTCCGTGGTGGCGGTGGTGGTGGTGGTCCCTGGTGGCCGTCGTGGTGGTCCCGTGGTGGTGGTCCCATGGTGGTGGCCGGGTGGCGGCGGTCCGTGGCGGTGGTCCGCGGTGGTGGTCTCGTCTCGTGTTGGGGGTTCCATGGTGGTGGTCCTGTGGTGGTTGTCTCGCGGTGGTGGTGCCGTGGTGGTGGTCCCGTGGTGGTGGTCCCGTGGTGGTGGTCCGTGGTGGTTGGTCCGTGGTGGTGGTCCGTGGCGGGGGTCCGTGCGGGTGGTTG